CACTCCCCGCGCCTGCGCCGGACGCCAGCACCGCCTTGCTGGTGCGGCTACTGCGCAGGCGCCGGGCTTGGAGACCGGAAGCGGAAGGTTGGAACGCATCTGGGCACCTTTGTGACCAGTAGCCATGCGCGCCTTGGAGAAACCAGGGCCTTGCCCCACAGCGACCCCGTGCGGGTGCGTGAAGCCGGCTCTGGAGACAGGTAACTTCTGAGAGGCTGGCGGTTTCGTACTCGGAAGAGGCCTAGGCGTGGGCAGCCCACTTCCTTGTAGAGAGGAACGTGAAACCCGAGACCCTGGGTTGAGGTGCGTCATACTTACTGTGAGGTTGTGGGTCACGTGCTGCGTCTGCCACGTGACGTTTCTAAGCGCCGGGATGACGTCATCTCATGTTTCTCGGTAGCTGGGGTCCGCCTAGTCCTGGCGCGGTAGCTGAAGTAGCCGTGTCCAGTGTAACGGGCCTTCTTTTAGGGAGTTTTCGTTCACGTAGGTGAGGCAGGGTATGTACCGCCGGTGTTATGCGGTGAGGAATTAATAAATGCCACAGCGGGAAGCATCGTGTGCTGTAGGAAGCGAGGAGGGCACGGGGAAAGGCCAGGGGGAGGAAATCGGTTTAAGCTGGGCCCGGAACAATGGAAATGAGTTTACTTCTTTTTATTTTCACCTCTTTATGTAGAGCAAAATATGTTAACTTTAGAAACTAGAGGAAGCAAGTAGAGAAAACCACTGTGGATATCTGTGTCTACCTTCCATACTTGTTTTACTGCATACACCCTAGAAATGAGTTGATTTACGATCCCACTGTTTAGAAACTTTTTAAAAAACTTAAGATTCATAAAAATCCATGGCAATTTTAATTTTAAGAGGTTACACTATTTTGTTTTATAGATGCCCTCTAACAAGTTCCCTATTGCTGGGCATTTAGGTTATTGCCAGTTTTCATTGTTATAAATGGAAGTTCTTGAAACTAAAATCTTTGTGTATGTTCTAAATGTTTGACTTAAATTTCCTAAAAGCACTGTTACGTGGTCAAAGGTTGTGCTCATTTTTTTAAAAAAGTTGCGCACTGCCAGATTACAGGTCTAGTATTTTGACAGGCAGGGAAGAGCATGGCTCAGAGGCTGTAAATCCAGAAGTAATGGATGGAACGGAGTTTTAGGAACCGTTGATTGGAGTCAGGTTGTAGAGAACCTTGAAAACCAGGCTAAGACATGCACCATCTGTTAATAGTGGGAAACATGAAAAGTTAAAGTTAGTAGCATGCCATAAGGAACTCAGAGTCTGGAGGATTAGTGTAGTGTATTTTGAGGAGGGGAGGGACTGGCAAGAGGTGGAAAGGACCTGAATTTTTTGTGTGCACAAGACTTGTAAATAAACATTGTGTTCAAAAACCTCTACATTAATAACTTATTGTTTTTTTCCTTATTACACAGTTAATATAGTTGTAATATTGTTAAAAGGAAGGAAAAACCTGAGCAAGGGCTTTAAAAACCGCTCCTTGCTGAGCACCTTCTGTCATACTAGGTGCTTTACATATTCTAGTCATTTTATAACTTTACAATATAGGTATCATTATCCTTGTTTTATAGATGAGGAAACTGGGATTCAGAGAGGTAAGCAGTTTTGCCCAAGGTCACATAGCTAGTGTAGTGGCCCAGTGTGGTTTCTGTTCTTTTTTTCTTCTGATACTAGCGCTAACCCTCCCATGATACTTTAGGGAGTCACTTCACCCCATTTCCATATGATTCTCACGCCAGTACTACCCTGGCATACCTGTGCTTATCCCTTTCCTGCATGTAAGGCAGTTTGATTTAATTTTGATTGTCCATCTCTGTCACTATACTGGATACCCTTGTGGGCAAGAGCTGCTGCTTATTTATGTCTGCACCCAGGCACAGCACATATCAAATGGCAGGTGCTTAATGGTTTGTTGTTGTTGTTTTGAGATTCGAGGCAAGAGGAAGGAGAGCAGGATTTCCCTGGGTGGAAATTCTCAGACCTCCACTTCAAGTAGAGCGTTCAAGTAGCACTTATATTTGGAAAGTATTGCGCATTTGTATTTCATAGCATTTATATAATCTCAAGAACAGGACACAGAGAATATATAAATAAATTCCAGAAGGTTCAGACATATTAGAATATGGTAAGTTCCCACTGGATTATTAGTGAATGTTTGATGCGTTGAGAGTGGTCCCAAATTTTAAGAGTTATGTAGTTGAGGGACTCCTACAACGTAGTTACTGAGTATATTCTCAGTCCCTTGATAAACCAGTGTTATCTTGCATATGTTCTTAATAGAGATGCACAAAGAGAAGTGGAATATATCTAATTGGTTACAGTTAATATTTATCATAGCATATGTGTAATCTGTAAAAAACCAGTGTAGACTGATTAAATGAAGTGGTAGCTCAGTTAGCTATAAACTTGTAGGCTTCAATCAGATAGGGACAGAAGTCTTTGATCATTACTGCAGGCAATGATAATGAAACATTGTGAGATGTTGTGAGAATCTCCCCAGCCAACTGTTAACTCCACTGTGATAAGAGTTCTTGTTTTGTATCTTTCTCCCAAACTTAGCACAATGTCAGGCAATTGTAGATGCTTGGAAAATGTTTGTTAAACAAATAAAAACAGGACACAGGGATCCCAGCTAATTAGTTTAGGAGTCCTTTTTGGCCATTTTTCCTCATGATACTTGAATGAACACCAGAGACTTGTTTGACCTCAGTTTCTTCATCTTTAAGATATTTACTATATCTGTTCCATAGAGCATAGATGAAGATCCAAAAAATAAGAATGCCTGTATACATACTTGGAAAAAATGTTAACTCATCAAAAACATATGCAAAAAAAAAAAAAAAAAAGCAATATGCATGGATCTTAGAATCATAATATTAAGAGGGACAAAGCCAGTCTGAGAAGGTAACACAGTTTTCAACCAATTTTTATAGCTCTCAAAGGCAAAATAAATATGTTTGTTTATGTATATGCATATGATAAAACCATATTAAAAGAGGAAGTGAATGATAAAGACCATAGTCAGGCTCCTCTTTATCTCAAGGGGAGAGAAGGGGCATGGGGTAGGAGAGAAGCAATGCAAAAAGACGGGTTGTTGGTAAAGCTCTAGTTCGTGGGCTGGGTGGCGAGTACACAGGATTTCAATATTATGCTTTATTACTTACATATGTATTACATATATTTATTTTATATGTATCAATTTTGTTTTAAAGTGAAAAGTAATGAAAGGTGCTGCAAGGAACAGCTCCAGACCTATGGTCCTACCACCTGTGATGGTAGGATAGATTTAATGGAAGGTGAACATAAAATGAGAGTTTAGAGTGGCTTTATATAATCTTTTAAGAGAAGTAATAAAGCCTTCATAAAATGTGAAAAAAAAAGTTTCTATAAATTCAAAATGGTAGTTGTGGATACCTTAAACCTATATAGTGATTGTACCTTGCCAATATTCTCTTCTTTTGAAAGGAGTTACTGCATTAAAAAAAAGTTTATGATTTGTGATAATTGAAAAATTTCAAATATTATAGAAATTACAAAGTTAAATATAAAAATCCTGATCTCTCTCCATCCATTTTAACCAGTGTTAGCATTTGGTGACTGTCCTTCCAGATAGCTTTCTAGATATATATGTGAACATATTTAAATAGGTAAATACATAAACACATTTTCATAAATAGGATTATGTTACACGTATTCCTCTTTTGTCATTTTCTATTTTAATTAGTTAAGACTTACATAATCTTTTTTCTATGCAACATGAATTATTTGAGCACCTACCCTCTTGTAGGCAAGTACAACTAGGCAGTGAGAACATAGCAGTAAACAAAACAGAAAATCTGTCCATGTGGAGTGTTCTAGAGGGGCAGAGAGCAACTAGGTCAAGCCTAGCCTGAAATCTACCCTCCCTGTAGATATTTTAGTAGTATGATCCCATGCATTTGTGTTATTGCTTAATTAAACTAGTTTCATTTGTTGTTTTCAACTGACAGCATCTTTACTTAAATACAGCCACTGTCTCCTTTCATTATTCTTTCCCTGGTATTTCACACTCTAGCCAATCAAAACAGCCTGTTCCCTGCATATCCAATAGTATTTCTCATTTGACTTTGTGTATGTTCTTCTCTACTTGAAATATCCGCTTAGCCCTGACCAAAGTCATAACTTGCTAATGGTAGCAGAGAACTTGAATTATGGTCATGGTAGGTCTTCTAGCAACGTCCCATTCCTTTCCTTCTTTATTTCTTAGACTTGTGCTCTTTCCAGTATAATAGCAATTTGCAACCTTTTTCATCTCATGGCACACATAAACTAATTATTAACATTCTGTGGTACACCAAAAAATATATTTTTTGCCAGTCTGACCAAAAAATAGGTATACTTTTGATTCATTCACATGGCTGTTGTTGTGTTGTCTGTTGTCATTTTTTAATTTGACAATCTAAGGGAAAAGAGGTCAGTGCCCCTGACTAAATAGTCAGGTGTTGCATGTTTTAAAAATTCTTGCGGCACACCAGTTCAAAATCACTGGGATATAAAAATGTATATGTAAGGATGAGGATATTTATATGGTGGATTTATGAAAACTGTAAGAATCATGTTCCATAGTTGTATAACACCTAGTTGATTTTAAGACTATGAAATCAATGCATTAAGAAAACATGTTTATTTTTGATGACCTTTTGACTAATGATTTCTTATCTAATTTTCTTCTGTAGGGAATCTTTTAACTGAGCCAATTGGCTACTTGGAATCCTGTTTCTCAGCCAAGAATGGTACTCCAAGGCAGCCATCCATTTGTCGCCATTCAAGGGCTTGTTTGAGAATTAGAAAGACCATTTTTAATAATCCCGAACATTCCTTGATGGGCTTGGAACAGTTTTCTCATGTTTGGTAAGCTGTTTTACACTTAGAAGTGGTACTTTGGGCCAGAGCTTGCCCCTGCATAAAAAGTATAGCAGTTGATATACAACTGCTGATGGAGGCAACCTTGGAGCCTGCCATCCAGACCACCCTTGTCTATTGCATGCAATTCCTATACTGTATTCGTGCACGTGATTGTCTCTATGACTTGGACACCCGGAGGGAAGCTTGGGATCCACTGAGAGGGCAGGTTCCATTTGGTTCAAATTGTGATCCACACCTTTCTGTTGAGCTGAAATCTATAGACCTTCTCAGTTCTGCCTATGGGTAGTCATTCTGTCCTCTACACACAGTAAACATTTTCTCCTAGGATAATATTTTGTAGTCAAATCCGTTATTGTTTTTCTTCATAGATTCTTGCTTTTGATCTTGTGTAGGAAGGCCTACTCCAGTTATTTAACATTTCTGAGCTTCAATTTCCTCATCCTTAAAATGGGGGATAAATGATACTTCTTAGGATAGTTAAGATTAAATGAAATTAGTATAAATATGTCTATCATACTGCCTGGCATATAGCAGGCACTTACCTGGTAAATATTGTTTATTCAGCCACTTGGGAAGTGTCTTAAGTTCTTACCATGTGCCAGTCATTGTATTAAGGACAAAGGATACAGAGATAAGACTGTCTTCGTCACAAAACGGGAATGGTATTATTTTTCCCCCCACAGATTGCATTTTAATACCATTAAAAAACATTCTTTCTGTTTTAATTTGTGGGGATTAAAGTTTTTCCCCCCCTCAACTCTTTATGATAAATTAACTTGTGCTTTTTTTCTTACTCATTTGTTTGGGGTTTTTTCAATAGGATTTTGTTTGTTTTTCACAAAAATGGTCATTTGAGCTGTAAGGCAAAAGTTCAGCCTCCTAGGTTGAATGGTGCGAAGACTGGAGTTTTCTCCACAAGGAGCCCACATCGTCCCAATGCAATAGGACTGACCCTGGCCAAGCTGGAAAAGGTAGAAGGTAACACACGTCATTTTTACTTTTACTTTTTTTTTTTCTTAAAAAGAAATCTTATAAAAAATCATCATAGTATTCAGCACTGGCTGTTATTCAGACAAGTACCAATGGTGTCAGAAACATGTTGAAATAGACTCTCAGAGGATGCTCAGAGCTTGTTTATATTGTTACATTTATCAAAGTTTAAATTATTTAAAAATAACATAAGATTTCATAATCATTAAATTAGTAACCACATTTTCTCTTAGAATGCAATAAATCCAAAATGATGAAAAAATAATTGTACACTTTCAAAATTTCACACACAGTAACTGGTTGTACGTGCACATGTGGTAAGCATATAGGATGGTGGTGTGCTTCCTTGCAGCCTTGAAGAAGTGACCATGCATTGTGGCTGCAGTGTATCCATCAACTGTTATGTGTGGCAGAAGGTCTGGGATGAACCACATTATAGGATCGAACATCTGTCAGATTTTGGAAATACCTGTGTAGAATACCGGATTAGTTTTAACTCCATGTTTACGTATAACCTAGTTACTGAGCCACATGTTTTTGTAAAGCAAGCATCTCTTTCTTGAATCACTCTGACCTAATCAGCACATTTATTAGAGAGGCAGAAGATGAAACAGCAGTAGACTGAAATTCGGGAGACCATTCCAGGCTTCAGCTTGCTTATTTGTCCAGTGGGCAAAGAAGAATCTGTCCTCTGGAACACCACATGATTTTTTTGAGGATCTTATGGGACAAAAGCTGTAAGAGTACTTTTTAGACTATTGGGTGCTAAAAAGATGAGAGCAGTTATTTTGCTTGTTCTTTCCCAGCTCTTGAACTCCCCTGCTGGATTGTATTCAACCAGGCCTTGGGCAGGTTTTCTGGAAAAATTCTGTAGCTGATCCAACTTGAGTTTTATCAGTTTGTGATGACTAACCAACAGTACTAGAACATTTTATGATCATTCGTACAACCCACACATATTTTCTGAGCACTGAACATGTGCCAGGCATTGTTCTAGATGCTGGGGATATAGTAGTAAACAAATTAGATAAAAATCCCTGCCCTACAGAAGAACTTAACATTCAAATCAGAAAGGTGAAAGGCCAGCACAGTAGTACTTATTGATACTCTTACTAAATAACATAGTGACTCCTAATGTTTGTGTGGTGTTTATAGTTTATAAAGAGCATTCATGTACATTATTTCACAGTGGCTCTGTGGGTTTGATAGTTTAGCAATCTCCATTTTGTGGATTAGGGCACTGATGTTTTTTGATGTTACATAATTTATCTAGTAGCATCTAGCCAGGGGTTTTGTCTGACTCCAAATCCCATGAACTCATAGAGTGCCTTTCTTCTGTAGACATTGTTAGGCATAATCACTTAGAAAATGCAAAATCATCTTAACAAAGTTCCAAGGCTCACTCACAGTAAGCACAATGGTAGAAATCAAAGTTCTCTGTTAGTCATGCTTTTCTTAAATGGAGACAGAATCAAATGTGATCACATGCAGTTTTTTGATTTTCATTTGGCCAGTTTCCCAAGGATCAAGTTAGTAGACTTTACACCAGTAGTAGGAACTGGATAGCAGCTGTGTAAGTGAGATAGCAGAAGACCTATTCTTAATATTTGGTAATGGTGACTTGTATTCTGCTTAATTGTTTGAGTCTTGATGGAGCGTTAAATTTCAGTTACTGCATTACAAATTATACACTTATCAGTTTAAACAACACCCATTTATTATGTATTTGAAACATGTTTTTGTGGGTCAGGAGCTGGGTCCTCAGCTTAGGGTCTCACCAGGCCGCAATTAAGGTGTCAGTGGGATGAGTTCTTAACTGGAGGCTTGACTGTGGAAGAATTCACTTCCAGGCTCACTCAGGTTGTGGGACTGAGGGTCCCTAGCTTCTAGCTGGTGGCTACCCTCAGCTCCTAGACAGCACCTGCAGTTCCTTGCTACCTGGGCTTTCCCTGAGCTGCTGCTTACTTCGTGAAGCCCACAGGGAGAATCTCTTGCGTGAGTCTGCCAGCAAGCCCAAGAATCTTAGATAATATAATATAGTCACTGGAGTGATATCAAGTCACACTTAGGAAGATGGGATTGTATGAAGCTGTGAACACCAGGAGGAGGCATCATGGGGGCCACCTTAGAGTCTATCTGCCACAGTGGAAACCTCCTCAGTCCCACAGAGATACATTGAAGACACCGATATGCCTGGATCAGAGTTAGAAGCCCCAGTGATACAAAGATGAGTGGGCTCCGCCCTGTGCTGAAGGGCTCAAGTGCTCACTGTCTAGAGAGAGATTCTAAGCCAGTTATTGCCAGACCACGTGAAAAGAGCTCTAGGAGAAGTCTGTATACAGGTTCCTCTGGAACCCAAGGGAAAGAACGCTTATGTCTGGAAGAGCCTTGAAAAGCAAGTAGGAGTTTGATGGGTAAAGAAGAGGGTGGGTTTCCAGTGTATTTCAGCACCGGGTATGAGAGAGCCTGGCACATAAGAGACTTGTGAGCAAGCTTGGTGAAGCATAGAGAGATGATTCTGGTTCTCCAGCTGTTTGCACTATTCTTCATTTTTATTATTTCTAAGAGGTATTTTTCATGTTATAGGTGGAGCTATATACCTTTCTGGAATTGACATGATTCATGGCACACCTGTACTGGACATAAAGCCCTACATAGCTGATTATGACTCGCCACAACATTTGATTGACACTTTAGGGGAGTGTAATGTACAGAATAATGAATACGAACCAAAAACCATGTCCCGCTCTGATGGCGAGACTGACAGCTGTGCCCAGCAACAGCTCTCAGGATATGATGAGCCACAGCCCTGCAGTCGCACAAAGGAGGAACCTAAATGTCCCGAAGACAGAACTTCAGGAGAAAATGACATGCAACGTGGTGACACAGCCAGAATCCAGCGAAGCTCGCCTAAGCACAGGGAAATAGCAGACTTGAGTTTAGAATCAAGAAGTGATCAGGGACTGAGTGTGACAGAGGAGCAAATTAGCCCATATCACCTCGAGAAGAACTTTTCAGAGGAGGGTTCAGATAAGAGGCCAAGGAGAGGGAAAGAAGCAGTGGTCCTCCAAGGAAACAGTGCAGAAGTGCAGCCCGTGGCTCTTCACCGCCCTCCCAGGATGGCTGATGCAGCCCACCACAGTGTGGTTCCCGCCTGGGTGCGAGAAGCCCCTGTGGCCACCTTGGAAGTCCGGTTTACTCCTCACGCAGAGATGGACCTTGAGCACCTCAGTTCAGGAGGTGAACCAGGTACTTTCCATTTCTTATTTCTGAGTGGGAGATGAGCTTTTACTAGGAGATTTAGCCAAATTTGATATTTCTGGGGGCAAAGTTTCTTAGCATAGAAATTGTCCCCATAAAGTCCCAGCACTAGAGACATGCACTTTATTGCAGAAAAGGCCACAGGGCTTTTACTTGGAGCCTGTTTACTTTAACATGTGGTTCTTCAAAAACATTGTTACGTGGTTTCTCCAGCCCACAGCAGATCCCAAGCAGCCATCTAGAATGAAGGACAGGGCTGTTAAGAGGTGGGTGCAGTGGTTCCAGTAAGAAGTAACCAGTTATGAAGGAGATGTCAGACGAGTTTGTCTGCCACTGGAGAGTTGTGCTTCTCATTCTTTCCTAAGGCTTTATGTTTAAACAAAGCATTTGATTTTTAAATTGATCTCTTTATTTAAAAAATTTTGTTTTATGAAAGTTGTTTTATCACTTTATACAGTTGATGGGGAGGAAGAAGTTCAGTTGTAAAAGGATTTTTGTGGTAGAACAAAGCAGTGCTGCCTGGAAGATACTTTATATTTATACTTACCCCTTGTCTTGTGATTATTGTTGAATGCTTCCTACTTTGGAAAGTTTTCTCTTTTTCAAACTACAGTGTTGTACTTTCTTGGTTAAAAATGGTGAAAAAGAAATTACCAAATATGACTATAAAACAGGGATTGATTTATAATAGACAGCAGAACTTAGAGCTGGTACAGAAATAAGAAATGATTCAAAAAGTTCAGAGTATAGGAAAGATGAAAGATATTGAAATGGGGGGAGGGAGATTGGCACTGGAATAAGTGCTGTGGGAACATGAAGGAGAGAAGGGTTCTAACTTGGGTAGCAAGGAGAAAATCTGGGAAGGCTTCCTAGAGGAAAAGATATTTGAGCTGAGCCCAGAAGGATAAATAGGCAGGGAAGTGAGGGAAGGCATCTATGCCAAATGAGCAGCTGGGCAAAGGCCTGGAGCTTCTATCAGATATACTGTTACTGAAGTGTATGATGTTTTTATTTTCTTTCTTTTTCCTTTTTCCTCCTATTTTT